GTGGCACCACTCAAATTGCAGAGAAACAGCCGCAGACATCCATTAATCATCGATAGAACATGGAATGTACGAAGTATGAATCTCTTGAACCTAGAGTAGCTAAAGTGAATGGAAGAAATGATGAAGTAAAAGAGCTGAACATAACATTTCAAAGGGAGGTATGACAAGACAAAGTATTACAATGAAATGTGCAAAGACCTGGAATTAGAAAACCAAGAACTGAAGAAAAAAATTCAACCCTTGAGTTGTAACACTGAAGGGTTCAATGGGCAAAATACTGAATGCTGCAGGCGGCATCAAACCAAGATGGAAGGAATACTGAGTCACTGCACCAAAAAGGCCTGGTCAACGTTCAGCCATTTCAGGAGGCAGCACATGAGCAAGGATCAATGGTACCGAAGGAAGACGTTCAAGCTGCACTGAAGGAACTGGTGAAAAGAAGGCTCCAGGAACTGATGGAATACCCAGAGATGTTTCAACAAATGGATGCAGCCTTGGAAGTGCTCACTTGTTTATGCCAAGAAATTTGGCAGACAGCTACCTGGCAACCAACTGGAAAAAAATTGTGCACATTCCAAAGAAAAGTGATACAATGGAATGTAGAAATTATCAAACAATACCACTAATATCATACACAAATAAAATTTTATTGAAGATAATTCAAAAATGGTTGTAGCAGGACATCAACAGGCAACTGACAGAAATTCAAGCCAGATCCAGCAAAGGGTATGGAATGAAGGATGATATTACTGCTGATGTCAGATGGATCTCGGCTGAAAGCAAAGAATCCAGAAAAATGTTTATCTGTGCTTTTTTGACTATGCACAGGCATTCCACTATGTGGATCATAACAAACTACGGATAACACTGAGAAGAACGGGAATTCTAGAAAACTTAATTGTGTTCATGAGGAACATGTTTATAGACCAGGAGGCTGTCATTCCAACTGCCAGACAGGTAGAGACAAGTGTTGATCTGGGTGAAGGGAAGGGTAAATCACTAAAATCAAGTGACCAACACAATGACACTGAGGGAAAGGGAGACAGAGGTGCACAAGGGGTATGGACAACAAAGATAAACCCTTTTCTAGAAGACAATGTTCTACAAGTGTATGTGTATGGTTCTGTAAGAATGTCCAGGCGTATAGTAGAGCTGACAAGAGACAGGGTTGTAGTCCCTTCTTG